TAGTTTCTTGAGGGAGGCTGATCCGAGATTTTTCGGATTGCTCCCATGCCTCCCACTTCAAGTTTCTTTACTTTTCCTTTTCCTTTTGGCCTTCCCGTTAGCTACCGCTAGTGCTTGCACTAGCGGTGCTAATATTTTTGGCCGTAAAGATCTCGATCTTGACGGTACATCTTCTTTTAATTGTTATCCCCTTGTGCCGCTCCGCCGTTTCTCCTGAGGCCTTCGCATGTCCCCGCCACTCGTCCCGCCTGTGGTCCCGACACTTTGTGCCTTCGGTGGTCCCCGACACTTGGTCTCCTTGGCGGTCCCCGACACTTTGTCCCGTTGGCGGTCCTCGACATTTAGTCCCGTCAGCGGTCCCTGACACTTTGTCCCATCGGCGGTCCCCAACACTTTGTCCCGTCAGTGGTCCCTGACACTTTGTCTCGTCGGCGGTCCTCGACACTTTGTCCCGTCAGCGGTCCCCGACACTTAGTCCCGGATACCATTATTTTTACTTAGTCCCACGTGGCCCTTGGTGCCTTTCCCCAAGGTGTCCCACGTTCTTTGGACGTCTACCGGCCCACGACGACCCCCTTTCCCTTGTCTTTCTCCGCCTTATGCGCGCCGGTTATCTCCGGCCGCGGGGCCTCTAATCCGAGGTTCCCGCTAATCGCCACGGGTGACCCCTATGTTGGCCCCTTATTCTCTAGCCTCCCACGGCCACTGGAGCCGTCCACCTCTCAGCCGCCCTATTCTCTTGTCGTCTGCCGCGCCGCATTTTGCAAGTTGGCGGCCCCTTGGCCTTGGTTATGCCGAATTGCAGTGGCCCTCCCGGCCTCATGCTATGCCCCTATGTACCCATGTCCTCGCTCTTACTTGCTTGTCATCGCTGGTTCTTTCCTCTTGCGGTTCTCAACCCAGGGCACCGTTCCTTCCGGCGGCCTAGTCCCTTGTCTTTTCTCTCTCTTGTCTTCTTACTCCCGATTTCTCTGTCGTGCACAAATTGGTTATATACAGGCTCTCGAGTGATGGGATGTTATTCGGGACCCACCGGTCCCGACACCGGAAGATGAAGAAGCAACGGTCCGAGATAGGGCTACTGCTGATGTACCACTTGGAGGTGGTCCGGACTGAGAGGCATAGGGGTCTGTCGTCGCCGAGAATGGCAGCGATGCCAAGACTGCTTGCCTGATTCTTGGTCTATGCATGGCATTCAGGATCTGGTCTAAGGTGTCATGGATGGTATTCAGTTTTCTGTCCATATATGCGTGCATGGACATGATGCTCGCCTTCATAATCTTTTCATTATTGCTAAGGGTCGAGTCATTTAACCCCTCTAGTGCAGCCTTGTCTGCCTCCCTACCTCTAGTCTAACACTCCTATCTCTAATCTCTTTCTCTCTTTTAGTAGCCTGTCTGAGTTCCTCCTCTAGCCTTAAGCGAATCCTCTCTACTTGTTGGAGCTCCATCTGCTCCCGGGTGCGTGGAGGTGGCAAGTTGAACTGCGAACCTGCCATCTGATTAGTGCCGGCTCCTGATGTACTGGAGATGGACTACGAACTGGTTGCGTTGGGTGGCATACCCAAACTCTGACCAGTTGAGTTTGCAGCATAAGTGGCTGAAAAGGTAGCCATTGCTACCGCACTAGTTGCTGTTGCTGCTAACGTGCGTTCAACCGTTGTTGTTGTCTGTCTCGCAGTCTCTAGATTGCGGGCCCTTGTCTCGGCCCTAAGCCTTCTCTCGTCTCCTGGTAGTAGAACCCGGAACACAACGGGTATCTTACCGGTATCCCGTCGTGTCTGCCTCCTATCGTCAGATCTATCCTCCCCACCCTCTGATCCGCTCATGGGCTAGGCAGACGTTGTTTGCACTAATGTCCTCTTTGGGACCTACCGCAGCATGCATCTGACCGGTTCTAAAAATAAATAAAATAATTGGTGTCTGGCGAGTTACCTAGACTACTAGTCAAGCGGCATCAACAACACCTACACAAAGTGTACACATGTAGTCTACCTCTATCTTTGATTAGTTTTGCAAGAAGATTTAAGAAAACTGACTATGGTAGATTACAGTCCTACTCTCGGATGTCTGTTAGGTGTTAGCAGTCTGTCAACCAACTAAGCAAGATAAAAATAAACTACAGTGAGCAGATGTATGCAAAATGGATAATTTAGTGATCTACAGTTGAGTTCACAATTGGAATCCCCTTCCCCTGTATCCTACGTACCTATGAGCATCATCAAGCGGTGGTGTCTAAGGTGTGCAACCACGGCCTGCCCTTTATTTACCGTCGCGTGCAACGAGCCTTACGTCTGACTGATCTGGCTGATCAAGAGGCAATTTAAGGACAGCCTCCGAGAGTCCTCAGGAATTTTTTAACGTCGCAATCAAGACGACGATCACAGCCAGTGGACAGTTCAGACCCCAACCAAAAATGTTTATTGACAGTCTGGGAGCGTCTACGTAGGACAGGTCAGTCCGCACACCCCTTCTATCAGCGCAGCAAAGAGCCTCAATGGACAAAGCAGCGTGGCCTGCGTGTACTAATACCCATGGGTTGGCATGGTGACCGTGACCCGTGCTTCGACCAGGGCCCTTCAGAGGCACCGCCCTCTCCTGCAGATGCGCCTCTCAAGATAGAGCGCACACGACTCCTTTCAAAAGAGAGGACACTCAAGTTGGACTCACTTCTTCACGGTAAGAAGAGATTGAGAGGGTAGATAAGGAATGGGAACAACGTACCTGCCCCCAACCACAAATTTCTCCAATTGGGCCGACGCGCATTTCGATGACCGGTCATTAGCCTCGGTACCACCCACAACGCAACGCAGTGCCACCTCAGCCAAAATGCCACGTCAGCATTCTCTCACCATCATGCATACACCCGCTGTCGCCACAGCTCCCATGTTGTCGCCACAGCCTTCCAGCAGCCGGGCCTCTCCGCCTAGGCCCCGCTAATCAACCAGCGGCAAAGTATCCTTACTGCATGTGAAGCATCGTCAGCGCGCCAAGTCACAATGTCGCCGGTGCCAGGTAAGCGGCGATCACCAACCAGCTCTGATACCAAATTGCAAGGAATATGAGTGTGAGCGATATACATAAAACCAARTTGCRAAATCACACWGCTGTCCAAGTAGTCGTGTCCCAAGCAGAGAGTACAAATGCACTGAGAAAACCATCCATATAGAGCAATACAATGAAGTAATGAGCCAATGTTCAAGCCCGTAGGCCACACCAACACAGTATCCAAAGTTGCTCTGCTCTGTCTGGCGCTCAGCGCCCAGCCTGCTCTATCCGACTATCCTACCCACAGCTGGTTCACGCAACAGGATCACTTCGACTCACGAAGACCAATGTACATGACTGCCAACACCATCGCCAACCTCTCTTCATGTACCAGGTACGTATCTCGTCACCCCCAATCAGACCTTGATTACCCCACACTCGCCTCCTTCCCTGAAGACCACTCAATCGCCCGCATTACCCCCTGGCGCCCAGCAGCCCGGCTATGGCCGCCTGCGCCCCGCTGCCCTGCAGCGCCCCACTTCACCTCTACTCGCCCCGTCAGCGCTCTTGGCATTGCCAGCACTGGCCAGAATGCCTGGCCTGGGCTGCCTCATTCCTTTTGTGGAAGTGGCAGCCTCCTGGATGCTGCGTGTGGCCTGGCTGGAAGCTTCCAGTAGCTTCCGGTTGGCTCACAGACCCTGCGCCCAGGCCCAAGATTTCAGTTGAGGGCCTGGGCCCTTTACAGTTAGGCACGGCCTGAGTCTCTGGACTTGGGCTGTTTGATGCATCTGTGCAGTGCTCCCGGGCAGGTGCGTCAGCGCTACTGCTTTTGCCAAGGCCGAAGGTCTGCTTCCCAATGTATCGGCCCTGCTTTGTGTATGTGTGCCCAGGCGCAACTGTCAAGGCCTGGGCCAACTGTATGACGCAGAAAATGTGAGGCTCACGCGTCTATCCACTTGCTGGGGGCCTTAGCCCAGAACAATGTGATGTCTGATAGGGCCCCTTGAGGGTTTGTTCCTCACAGCTATGTTTGCGTTCCTGAAAAACCTGACTTAGATGCGGGTGTCTTTCACGTGGTCAGCAGTTCTTGCAATCTGTGAATTCCTCTATATCTACTTTGAATAGACTATTGTGCGTTTGCTTTCCTTCTTGCCAATGGTCATATGCAGGCTTCTATTTCACTTTTTTTGTGTGTTTTTCTGAGGTTCTTTGTCTGTCAATGGGATACAGCGATTCTGGGACTGAGTGCTGCTTGGTGCTTGTAGGGGCATGTGGATGGGCATAGAGTGTGGCCATCTGTACCCATGTAACTACTGTACCCTCCACACATCCAGGCTTGTGGATCACCAACAGGCACAGGGAGTCTCTTATAGAGGGTCACATTTTCTTCATGTACTCATATTACGTCAAAACAGTATGATCTGGTCTCTATATAGGCAAGATCTGAAACAGATCTCCCACTATGTGAATGTGTCAGTGCTTTGGATCTGGAGCGGATTTCGTTAGTAGCAGTGACTATGTGGTCCTTGCAATGCGGATTGTTGTGGTTTTCCGTTCCTGGTATTTCTTCTGAGATCTCTTCTTTGTCCTCTTCCTCTGATTTCAGTGGATACATGAATTCAAATTTGGATCTGCTTGAGGTATTCAGTCGTGTCAGTGCAAGAAGCAGTTTTTGCACTAGAGCAGGGTGTCAAGTTTAAACCACCAGGTACCATTTTATGACAAACCGTGGTTCCCAGAAGGCACACCCTTTTTCAGTTGTTCTCTTACAGGCCATCTTTCGTGTCTGGAGAGGCTAGCCCAATTTCTCCGAAGGTGCTGGTGGTTCCAGAGATGCTACTTGGCGTAAGCGATAGGCTGCTTTTTTTCTGGTTAGCGCAAGAAACGTTATTTGCTGCAGTGGAGCAGGGTTCAAAGTATACGTGACCCCACTTGCCATAATCAGCAGTTGCCTGCTCCATGTTCTTCGTTGGATTTTGGTTTTGTTTGACGCAATGTGTGCTTCGCTACCAGGTGCGATGAGGAAATGCTGGAGAAGTCGTTGACAACACGGATCATGAAGGCAACACGCACTGAGAGCATCACAAAGATACTGAACAAGAGCCAGGCCACAGACAACAGAGACGCCCTTGCCAGGACAATATATGCGAAGCTGTTTGATTGGTAAGGATTGAAAGGGAAGATGTTTGTAATAAGAAATATTGCACAAAATGGAATAACGCAAGCTTGCTATTTCTTGATATCTTCTGCTCTCAATGACCTCACCCAAAAGTCAGGCCACTGACAATGGAGATGCCGCCACCATGACAATGTATGCGAAGTTCTTTGTTTGGTAAGCATTGAAGGAGAGGTGTTTGATGCAAGAAAGCATTGCATAAGATGGAGTGCAAAGATTGCCACGACCTGCACTCAATGACCACAACCAGTATAACAGCCCACTGTGTTGCATCCTTGAAAAGGAAGTTGTTCGTTTCTCTTGTGCCTCTCTCGTTGGAAAACAAATGTTCTTTTTCTTTTCGTGTATTTTTTCGCCTTTTGTTCTGAAACGACACTGCTACCGTTAGCTCTTGGGTAAACTGCCACTTATTCAAAACTCAGAGTAACAAAGTACAAGAGAGAAGGACAAATGCACCGAGTTGGATACATCCCTTCTCGCCCCGTCTCGTCATTGTCAACAGTCAATTGGCAGCGTACAGTGAAGCACAAGTCATGCAAAGTTTTTTTTTCCCTGGCAATTTGTGGCAAATATTGTGAAGCATCACCATAGCTTCTCCCCCTTTCCCATCTTGTGTACTTGAGTGTAACTCTGTTTTTACATACGTACCACACTCTTACCTTTTGATTCCGTAGCAGTGCTGCAAACCCGGTAGGACCGGGGGCCCCTCCCCCAACCGGAACCGGACCGGTCCTACCGGCCGCTCGACCAGGCCGGTTCCCCCCACTGTTGGCTGTAGTGCATCTTTTTTTTTTTTTTTTAGCCCAGGGTGTTGTAGAGGCCAAGGACTAGACCCACGATGATCGTTGGCAGCGGCAGCCGGTGGTTATCCTACCAGTACCGAGGGCAACTTGGACCAGACAGCAGTGACAAGCACCCCCTAATCACCCCCACCCCTCTTTTCAAAGTTTTTGGGTGGGAAGCATGGTTGCATTCCTGCCGACCGCCGACCTCAACCGCCGACCGTATTGCAGCCGACCAGTGGGGCCAACCGGTCAGCGGTCTGCCGACCAGTCAGAAAACAACCATCCACTATTTTTTTTTCAGATCTGAGATGGAAGCTGTACTGCACTTGCTGAGTACAGCCCAAATCCGCTGAGAAATTTTTGGGGATGGGGGGTTTGGGGGAGAGGTGTATAGGGGGATATAGGGGGGCATAGGGGTGGTATAGGG